AAGGGCACTCATTTGCTAGCAATCACTGTAAAAAGTAATCAGAGACCATAAACATATTTTTATATGTTAAAAAATATAACACATTTTTTGGAAAAATCTATGAACTGGCAACATTCTAATTTTTAAAAATTTAAAATGAAAAATTTTTGATTTTAGTCGAAAGGGATAAAAACTTCAAAATGTGAAACCACTGGACAAAAGCTGCATCTCGGCTTAAACTTGACTTAACCTTTGTTTGAAAGAGTTCGTTATATACACCATAATATAAACCAAAAGAAGTCTCGAGGCAAAAACAAATTTTTAAAGTCATGGTTATTGTGTTGTATTTAATTTGCGATTTAATACAAAGTAAATTCAACTTTATGAAAAGAAAAGATGAAAAACTATTTTGGGTGATTCGGATAAAGCTTGCTATTCTAAAACTTCAAGGAAATGCTAACATTAGCCTTTGGTTTGACTAGCATTATACAATTTAAATTGAAGCTGTATATACAAATATATTAAAAATGCTTTTGTTTCATACCTTACAATCAAATTGTTATAAAGTTTAATCCAAATAATCATAAATATATGTGAAAAATAATCGTGTAATCGAAAACTGCTATAATAGCAAGTTACAATGACAATATGCTTTTTGAAATAGTCCCCGGAAAAATTTGAATGCCCGGTATTTCCCATTATTCTTAAAAATAAAAATACAAAAGATAAACAACTTTTGGGTCAAAAAAAATTTGGGGTAATTGGGAACCCATTGCAATTTTGATTTGAGTTCAGTTATTTTTATTAATCACTGTTCCGACAGTTAAGTCGAATCGTTTTAATGTTGGTGAAAAAAAGTTATGAATCAAGAGTCGGACCCAAGTAAGCTGTCCCATATTGAACACGTGTTGGCATTATCCAACTATCATTAACTTGAAATTAAATGAATGGTACAAAACAAATATTTATTGAAACATTGATAATAGTATGCATGTTTCCCTAAGTTTACAGAATGATGATTCGAGGAATATTTCTGGTTTGTCTTCTCGGGGCATGCACATGTCATCAGCTCCACATTGCTAACCGTTGTTCACATACGGTATGGGTCGGAATTCTCGGAAATTCAATTCCTGATGGAGGTATTTTAGAAATATCCATTTGAATTACAAAATAGCCGGATGAAGATAATTTTCTATTTAAAGACATTTTAAAGGCAATGTTCTGGCACATTTAAATTGAGGTAATAAAATTTTCCTACGAAAATACCATGCTATGTCATTAAATGTCTAACACATAAGCATACATATATAGATTTATTTCAAAATAATAATTTAGATCTGCATCCTGGTGTAAATGTTATTGTGGGTAAGGTAACTCCAGTCTGTTTAGGGACTTTAATCTTTTAGGCAACGTTTTAAAAGTATATGTATCATTTTTTCAAAGTTTTATTAATCAAAGAAAAAAATGATATTCTTACATGCGTATTACTGAGTATCGTTTTTACATAAAATGTAATCGAAATTTTCTCTACCGAAGGTGGATATATGTTAAGTGCTGGATCCTCTAGAAGTACTAATGTCCCCAACCATTGGTCTGGACGGGTATGGGGAAGAACCGGATGTTATGGTAACAAGTGCGAAACAGGTGACTGTGGTGATGGAAAAATTCAATGCAACGGAGCAGGTGGCGCCCCTCCTGCAACACTTGCTGAGATTACATTCGACGCCGGCGGTCTCAGGGACTACTATGATGTCAGCTTAGTTGATGGATAATACCTACAAATGTCTATGAGTCCACGGGGTGGATACAGGTCCGGAAGCGGCCATTATTACTGTTCAAGAGCAGGTTGCAATACTGATCTAAACAAGAATTGTCCAAATGAGCTTGCCATTCATGGCACAGGAGGAGTCGTGGCTTGTAAGAGTGCTTGTCTGGCATTTAACTTGGATAAGTATTGCTGCAGGGGCTATTATAATACACCGCAAAAATGTCCCCCTTTCAGTTATTCTCAAACGTTCAAAGACGCGTGTCCAGAAGCATATAGCTATGCATACGACGACCAAGCAAGCACTTTCACGTGTGTTGGTAACTCTGTTGGTTCAAGTTCGTATGATATTATTTTTTGTGGCTAATAATTTGTTGTATTGTGTTGTCAATAAAGAATCAAGACCAATTTGTTTGATATATGCGAGTGTTTATAGATCATTAAGTTGATGCAGGAACCTTATCAAAATGTTGCGCCGTGAACATTTTCATCCAATCGTTCTTTTCAAATAGGAGCATCTCTAAAAGAACATGTCTCGTGATATTTTTTCTTCTCGAAGTTCTATATATTGTGGGATTTTTTAAATCCTGCATTATTGTTAATGGTACACTCAACAGAAGTAATAGCAGTTAATACATGTACTTAATAGCATGCCATATTATTTTGAATCAAAGTTGAACTTTGTAATTAAGCAGTAAAATAAGTGAATTATTTGAGTGAGAAATGGTCTAAATAACTCGTACTCGTAGGACACTGATTTCTGCAAAACAATGTGTTACCTATTAAGAATTGGCAATTATTACTAGTATAACATTTAAACACTAACATATTGAGACGATTTGTATGCATTGCTTACATGAAACAATGTGAAAAGGAAACATTGTGAGTTTGACCTGAGTACGATCATTTAAATCACCTATATCATAAATTGAAACTTTATCAGTTGAGGAACAGCTCAAATTTACCAAAAGAAGTTTTCTTTTTGGTAGTTGTCGGAAAAAAGAATATGCACGATTTGTTATATATGACGTACACTCGTTGTGATCTTGTTTTCAACGAAGTATCTATATAATTTTGATAAGTTTTTACTGAAAAACGCTTATATGTATAATATCCCTAGCTATTGCTATCTGATCAACAAACTATTATGGTAAGAAAATTAGTGTACTTAAAGGGGAAAAAAATCAAAAGGATTTGATAGATTGTCTATTTAAGCATATGTTCTTTCATATAGAAGAGTATATAGAAAAATGCCATTATATAACATATTAAGCAGTATTGTTTATTCTTTCGTCGACTAATCGAAGAAAAGGGGGTGCATGTACAAATGTACTCACCCTGGCGTCGAAGTTGGTTCGGCGTCACACTGGTTAAGTTTTTGCTTGCAAGTTGGTATATATTCAAAACTACTGGAGGGATCGAATGGGTTGAAACTTCACACATTTGTTCCCTGAGATTATCTAACATGATGGACACATATACCATAACTCTGAGTTTATTGAGTAATGCTCTTTTTTACTGCCAAGCACTGAAAAACAGTCGAGTGCGCTATCTTGCGGACAGCTCTTGTTATGATATAAACCAGGCGGCGAAGCTAAATCTTAGCATGATGCGGCTACTATAAGCGACATTTTTCGACACTTATTTTTTCGTGTGGTTGCTACATAAATACAAAATGTATATATTTGGTATTTTTGGTTTTGGTCCATTCTTTCTTTGAGTCTCGCTCCCAGCAAGTTGTAGTTGAAGGTCAAGAATCAGGAATTTTACCAGTCCTTTCATGTGTCCACAGGGCTCGGTATTAGGTCCCTGCATGTTTTCTATTCCAATATAAATGATCTTCCTGATAGTGTCAAGGAAACTGCATATTAGCCTCAGGTCGAATACTGCTCTATGGTTTGGCATCCTTGACAGATATACTTAATTCATAAGGAAGAACGAGTCCAAAGATCAGCTGCTAGATATATTTCTAATGATTATAACTGTACCCTTCAGCAGCGTCGAAACATCAGTGCTATAACCTACTTGTAACAAATCCAAAACAACATTGTCTTTGTTGACAACCAACACTTTACTCAGACAAGAAATCTGAACAATTTAATTCCTTACTCGAGGACACAATACCATCAAAATTCATTCTTTCCGAGGAGTAGCCTTCCTCTAAGTGTTCAGTCTAACCCCAGTTTAATCATCTTTACTGAGAGGCTTGACCCTTTCTACAAATTCTAATATGCACACTATGTCTTGTAAATTAAAAGTCTTGTAGAACTTTTACTCTTTTATCTTTTTAAAATTGCATGTAAATAATGTCTTTTATTAACAGTTCCCTGACAACGGCCTGCTAGTCATAATCAGAATTGAAAGTTTACTAACCTTGCAAACCCGCGTTAATTATAAACTCTAAGGTTTCAATTCAAACAAAGATCATTCACAATTTAAATGACTTTTATTAAATTACATTTCTCAAATAAAGTGGTTCTAGTTTATAACATTTCAAAATCTACTACAATCTTATGTTCGTCATGATTTACAGAGTTTAATATGAAAGCAAAATTAAGTTATTTAAGTTTCTTATTTAACTAAATAGAAAACACTCCTGAGAAAATATAATAAAAATAGATTACTTATCCAAATTGAAACAAAAAAATAGCCCTACATTGGTAAAAATTGTGGCTTATCTCATTGATCGATTAGGTAAAAGCTACCTTGGCGTCCTTGAGGCAAAAGCAATATCGAGAAGGTCAAAATCTTTCTTAATTATATAGTCTGACAAAAAGTGAACTCAGTAAAAATCTCATGCTAGAAAATAAAGGAAATAGGGGTAGTTTCAAATTAAACAATTACTTAAGAAAACATTATCAATAAATAAGAAAACCATAAAAGCGTAACATTAAATCATTAATCTTGAAACGACCAAAAATTTAAGAGCACCAATCTTACACTTGAAAAGTCATGGATTTAAGTGAATTTGAAATGCTACACCGTAAACAGAAGAAATTTAGAGAGAAATTACTTTAATGAATTAAAGATAAATAAAATTGTTTTAGAAATAATCAAAATCTGCCACAAAAGCAGTATCATGTAGATATGATCTTTTGTCACTTGCCGGTAATAAATTAAGTTTATTTGTCTAATATCTTATATCATTATCAGTTTTTCAAAATAAATTGTGCTTAATGCTAGAATCTAATGCAAATTGGATTAGAATTTGCAAAAATAATATAGCTCCTTTTTGCTTTTTGTAGTCCGTTAGGTTAATTTGTTGACTCATTGCAAGCGTCTAGTTACTTCCTGAAAGTTGAAACAAATTTATGCAAAGCGAGACCGAAAAACACAATTTCCACCCTTGCGCGGAACTTGATATGGATGGCAGCCATCCTATTCCAGCGTTTGAAGAAGAGGCAATACATGTGTCCGTAGATAAGAGGAATGATAAGGTTCATTTTGATAGTAAACCAAATTTACCGAAGTCGCCAAACGTAAGCCACGCCAGTTACAGGTCACGAGTGGGAGAGGAAGATGACAGTGTGATATCATCGACTATTGCTTCAACAGCATCAAACACACTTTTGAGTCATGCGGACAGTACTGATTCTAGTGGAGTCTCTGAAGGCTGGCACATGTTGGGTGTGCCACAAAACAGCGAGAGTCGACTTTCTCAGACGTCTGTTATGGGTGATGAGGATGAAAAAATAATTGTTTTTGTAGATGCGCCAAATAAGAAATTATTCTGTCGTCTTTGCAGTCATGTATTCAAAGATCCAGTTATCGTAACTTGTGGACATACCTATTGTCGACGTTGTGTAAGTCACCGGTCAAATGAAACCTGTCCAGTAGATGGTCACAGTCTAGGAGTTGTTGTTGCTAATATAGCAGTTTCAGAACAGATAGGTGAACTAACAATACACTGCAAATATGGCTGCCAAATGGCAGAAGATGGGCAAACCTATATTGTTAATTCTTCTGCATGTCCAGTCATTGTGAAAATAGCAAATAGAAGAGATCATGAAGATGATTGTGATTTTATGCAAGTTGACTGCCCAAATAATGCAGGCTGTCCACCACTTTTGAAAAAAGAGCTTGAGTATCATTTGAAGCATTGTAGTAATGTAAGATGCCCACATCAAAAATACAGTTGCGATTTTGCTGGAACTCAAGATGAACTTGATGAACATTTGAAAGTTTGCAAGTTTGAAAGTATGAAAGAATTTCTTCAGCGCACAGATGAAAAAATAACTGATTTAACGTTTGCACTGAATTCCAAGGATCAAGAAATTGGATTTCTGAGATCTATGCTTGGAAAACTATCTGAAAAGGTTGAGACATTAGAAAAAGTTACAGAAGTTAAAGTTCAATTATTGGAGCATAATCAAAGCAAAATTATGGATGAAATTGTAGATTCCAGAAGAGAATATGCTGTAATTGCAGATGAGTTGTCCCATATCAATACCTATTTAAATCTTGGTACCATGAACATGGGAGCATACGACCCACAACAGATGTTCAAGTGCCGTGGAACTTTTGTTGGGCACCAAGGTCCAGTTTGGTGCCTATGTGCATTTGGTGATTACCTGTTTAGTGGTTCATCTGATAAAACTATTAAGATTTGGGACACTGGTAGCACATATAAATGTATGAAAACTCTAGAAGGTCATACAGGGATTGTGCTTGCTTTATGTACTTATGGTAATAAACTATACAGTGGATCGCAAGACTGCAATATCATCATATGGAACATTGACAATGATTTTGACAAATTGAAAGTAATTGAAGCTCATGACAATCCAGTATGCACCTTGGCCTCTGCCAGAAACATGCTCTTTAGCGGTTCGCTCAAAGTGATAAAAGTTTGGGATGTTCATACTCATGAATTGAAGTGCCAGCTAACTGGATTGAACCACTGGGTTCGAGCCCTTGTTGCAACACAGAATCTTCTTTACAGTGGGTCTTACCAGACAATAAAAATTTGGGATCTGGAAACTTTAGAGTGTTCACGAGAGTTGGAGACTTCAGGAGGGAGTGTTTATAGTATTGCCCTAACAAATCATCATATTCTCTGTGGCACCTATGAAAATATAATACATGTTTGGGATATAGGTACCCAGAAGCAAGTAATAACGCTGAGAGGGCATTCTGGGACAGTGTATGCTCTTGCAGCTTGCAATACAGCAGCAGGAACCAAAGTGTTCAGTGCCTCCTATGATAGGTCATTGAGAGTCTGGAGTATGGACAATATGATATGCTCTCAAACATTGGTGCGACATCAGGGAAGTGTAGCAAGCCTTGCAGTATCCAGAGGGAGAGTTTTTTCAGGTGCTGTAGACAGCACTGTAAAGGTGTGGCAAGCTTGATGTGTATGAATGTACATAAAGTTCCAACTACAAAAATAAATAAATATCTTAAAAGATGGTGAATATGTCCAGATCTAGTTTGGTAATAAAATCATTTATCTTTAAAACTGCTGTCTATCAATTTCTAGTCTTACTAAGAAAATTAATAAAAGTGGAACAACCAGTCAACAAAGGATAAGTTTAAGGTCTTATTTAATTATGTTAACTTATTCTTGTTTAAGATTTTCAATTTTGAAAATAGATTGCTAGAATCTCAATGTACATATAAAACTTAAAGAAACATTTAACAGAATTGATAATTACAAGACCTCCTTTAGGTTTGCCAGAAGTAAGTTTATTTAATGCAATAGTTCCAACATTTTTGTTATGTTTATACCTCATTATTTTAATATTTTGTGTGATAGTTTATGGTAGGTTAATTATGTAAAGTTTATTTTGTCACATTTCATACATGTACAAATGATATTGTTACTGTTTCCTCAGCTTTAGAAAAGTTTATGCTTCTTTTCGCTTCATTGTAAATTATTTACATGAAATAACTTGGGGGTCACATCAAGACCCACAAAACTACCAGTACACAGTCACAGGAATACCCTTTAATGATAACAACAATCAATACAAAGTTGTTCACTGGAATACCTGATTATGAGGTGATTTTAATCAACTTTTCAAACAAAATTTTCTGAACAATGAAAATGCATGTGTTTAATTGATAGAATTTATAGCTATGCTGATTTGTTTATTATTTTTGCAAGAATATTCTCTGATTTTACACAAATAGTGGACTGCCATTTTTATTGTGAGAAAACTGTATGATAGCCTTGACATTTTTGATATGATAATGTATTTTTGGATTGAAAGGGAAAAATTATTTTGGTAGTTGTAAAATAACAAAATGGTTTTAGAAAGTGTGATGTATTGGTGTATTTCATAAGGACTAGCAGTATTGAGATGCATAAATAATTGAGTACTCAGCAGTAAGATAGTATATCTGTTCCTATAAGCTAATTTATTGAACTATAAGTATTTGTAAGTTAAGCTATAAAGAATATTTCTTTGTAAACTGGGAAAAAAGAGCGGTTATTTTGGATTTAGAATGGGGCTTTATTATTTTAGGGCCCTGGTTATACAATATAGGGTGAAAATGCTTAGTTTATTGACATTTTCAGTTGGCTTAATGCTTACATTTTTAGTTTTGATTATTTTTCAAATTTTTGGTGTACATGATGCTGTGTTGTTAAATTCTACTGGTACTGGTATATATTCAGTTGTTTATCATACATGTATCTTTTTATGCCCCAGCCATGTAATGGCCGGGGCATATAGTGTTACCCTGTTCGGTCATTCTGTCATTCCGTCATCATCAGTTTCCGTTCATTATCTTAGTAACGATTGCACACATTCAGCTCCAAATTTTGACATATGGATATGTCATGAGAAAAATACAGGTCAATTATCAAATTTTGTCATGGTATGATGATTTTTGGCCAAAGTTGTGCCCTTTTACTTTGAAAATAATATGAAATTTCAGTTTCAGTTCATTATTTCCCCAACGGTACAACACCATTCAACTCAACACTGACATATGGATAGGTCATAAGAAAATAGCAGGTCAATGTTGCAAATTTGGTCAATGGTTCGATGATTTTGCGCATTTTACTTTGAAAATAATATGAAATTTTCAGTTTCCGTTCATTATCTCCCAATGGTACAACACACATTCAACTCAAACTTGACATATGGATACATCAAAGGAATGCGCAGGTCAAGTTGAAATTTGGTCATGGTTCAATTATTTTTTGGCAGAGTTATGCCCCTTTCACTTTGAAAATAATATGAAATTTTCAGTTTCCGTTTATTATCTACCCAACAGTGTTACATATTCAACTCAAATTTGACATATGGATATGTCAAAGGAATGGGCAGGTCAAGTTGGAATTTGGTCATGGTTTGAAGATTTTTTGGCAGAGTTATGTCCCTTTCACTTTGAAAATAATATAGATAACATCTTAGAAATAAAAAAGTTTAAGTTTGAATTTGGTCGTAGTTCAATGATTTTGGACAAACTTATCTTTCCTGAATGTTGGAAAAATTTTGGACTTTCAGTTTCAGCACTCATACTTTTGTGGAAATGTAAGTAGCCATTATTTTGGCTACAAATATGCAATATGCTATTTTCAAAAGGTTAAGACTGAATAATTTCAGTGCCTTGAACATTGTATGAAAATGGTTTGTGTTAACATTGAAAAGTTTTAAGGGCTTTGAACTTAAAATGAAAAAAATAATTTGTGCAAACAAATTTGGAACTAAATGTTATAACATCTGAAATTTTGGCTGCATGCGGGGGCATCCGTGGCATGATGACAAATTTCTAGTTTTTCTTTTGTGCAGCACATGTTTTGTCATTGAAAATGTGATATAAAATTATCCTACAATCAAATTGTAAATTTTACATAATAATGTTATATAGGTTTACATGTATATAGAAAATGTGCTGAACACATCTTAAATGTGATATACGAAAAGGTTGTCTGATTTTGATCTACTATTACAACTTAATTCAATTATATCTGATATATTATGGTATTCCTCTATATATAATGATATGTTCTTCCCCATGAATTAAAGCTTATGTATTTAGTATTATACTAATCCAGATGTAATATTTTTAGAAGACTTGGAATCAAGGATACATTACTACCATATCACTCATTCACTTTTAACGCATGGCCTAAATTTCTTATTAAAAATCAGCGGTGTACATATATATAAAAAAGTAAAATTCTGTTGATAAACACTTTCATGCTGAAAAATCTATTTCTTTATGCCTTCAAAGTGAGGCATATACTTATTTTTTAGTTCAACTTTTTTTTTTCGAAGAAAAATATCCGAGCTATTGCTACGGTCATGTAGTCTGTTTCATCCAAATTGAACTTGACCTTGTCCTTAATTAGACCTTGACACTCAAGTACAGTTGTGAATATTGCTAAACTTGGCTCTGACTTTGTTATTAATTTAGGGATTTATACATGCACAAAAGAACGCATAAAAAATCTGACATTTTAAGTAATTCAAATAAGGCCTTGACCTTTAAATGACCTTGACCATCAAGGTCAAATATCAAATTGAGCTTATTGTTATAACTTTAGTATTTATTTAAGGATATGATAAATACTTTGACAAAAGAAATCTTGCGGCAAAACCCTAACGACTAATTTTTAACCTTGCCTTTTTTTTGACTTTTAATTTGGGAAAAGTCTTTTTTAAAAAATTTTTATTTTTCAAGTTTTTTTAAAAATTTTGAAATTTTCTTTTAAACTTGACAAACAAATTTTTTGGACCTTCAAGCAAGAAAAACCAAAATAAAAAATTACTTTTTTACTTGGAGGCCCTTTAAGGGCAAAATTGAAATTTTCTTGACTTTATAACTAAAACATTATGATTGATTTTTTTTTATGGAAAAAGCAACCTTTTAGGAAGACCAAACTAAATTTTACCCGACTCATAAAACCCTTGATTTGAAGGTTTGTTAAAATTTCTTTCTCTTTTGACACTTCATCTTTCACACTTTCCTATGCTATCTGGCCTACTTTTCCAGTGTTTTGAAAATCATGATTTTGTCCTAAGTAAGGCCTTTGGTCCATTTACAAAAACAGATCTTGTGTTTTGAGAAATATGTAATTGGATTTAGACATTATTTTGGTACCTTTAAGTAATATCTTTTTTAAAAAGTTTTTTTCCTTTACAACAATTAAAATATTATGGAATAATTTGGGAAGGTGACTTTACCAAGAATTTCTCAAAATAAAAGCCCTTTCAATTTTATCGGGTATTTTGAATTTTATTTGAAACAATAAGTTAAAAAAACAAAAAAAAAAATATTTTATAATTTTTGGAAACTAAATTAGATATTTACTTAAATTTTTTCAACTTTTATCAAAATTGTTTTGGGTAAAAATTAATGGTTGTACCATGATTTATTCACAAATTTCCTAAGTTTTTGGGTGCATTTGTATATTCCTATTCATCTTTTATTAGTTCAAACGTTTTAAACCCATAATTTTTTTGTATAAAATTTAATATTTTTCATTATTAAATTTTTAAAATTGTATGCAAAAAAATTTTCCCACACTACTGTTTAGTTTTAAAATTAATGCGGTCATTACATTTTTTTTCAAATATTTTTTTAATTATAAATCATGGTCATGACAAGTTTGATATTGCATAATAATTGTTTATTGAAGAATTTCAATAAATGTTACATATATACATGTATAGAGAGGTACAAACAGGTACATGTGTATTTAAAAGAAAAAATATAAAAAATATGGTTAATATGGTCTAAATTACATTAGAAAGATATTGCAATTTTTTATAAGTATCAGAGAGAAATAATACTGCTCATTGGCTATCAAAAAGAACTTTCATTGTTTAATGATTAATTTAAATTGGCAACCATATCTTTACAAAGCATAATTCACTTGTAAATATTTCAAATTTTTTAATCTAATCAAATAGAAATATGATTAATATGAATCAGTGACAATATGTGACATTTCATCATTTTGATAATTATAAACATATATTTCTATATGTATTGGTGCTAACACTACTTAAGTGTTTAAAGTGTGTTTTATACTTATTTTTCATTTTCCTATAATAATTTTTGTTGCAAGTTTTGTTCTGGTTTGTCAAATTATATATTTTCTGTAATGATAGAACTATAATTTATTGTCCCCTGCCTTTTCGAAGAAAAAAGGGGGATATAGAAATAGGCTCCATCAGTGTTTGTTATAATAAGATGATGTGTCTTGCGCAACAACCAGACCCCTACCTCCAGGGTCAAGGTGGCACTTGCTCATGCAAGGTCAACATTGTCTATTTGAGGGTATATGTCGTGTCTGGTCCATAATTTTCTTATCTTTTAAGGGGTTTTGTAATTACTTGACACAATGGTTCACAATAATGACGTGTCATGCGCAACAACCGGTCACATTTGGAGGTCAAAGATTAACATCTGTCTGTTAAAGGGTATATTTTGTGTCCGGTCCATAACTTTTTCATAGATCAAAGGATTTTGAAAATACATGGCACAAATATTCTCTATAATAAGATGATGGGTCATGCGTAAAATCTGCATCTCTACCTCCAAGGTCAAGGTCACACTAAGAGGTCAAAAATTAACATAGTCTGTTCTAGGGTATATTTTGTGTACAATCTAGAACTTCTTCATAGTTCAAAAGATTTTAAAATAACTTGACACAAATAGCCACAATTATAAGACGATATGTCAAGTACAACACCTTCACCCCTACCTCGAAGGTCAACACTTAGAGGTCAAAGGTTAACATAGTCTGTTATATGGTATATTTTGTGTCCCGTCCATAACTTCTCCATAGATAAAGGGATTTTGATAATACTTGGCACAAATAGTCACAATGATAAGATGATATGTCATGTGTAACACCTTTGTCCCTACCTCCAAGGTCAAGGTGACACTTAGAGGTCAAAGCTTAACATAATAGGTTTTTCAATTCTGTGTTTAATTTTATTTCTTTAATAAATTTGTTGTTGCATTTGCAGATCTAGCATTGATCATAATTTTGGACTGAAAGTCCTGAGATCCATACCTCAATTTTTTGAAACAGCACAATTTTATGCTTCATATAAAACTTCCCTGAGGCGGGGGATGTTGGTAACTCTGTTACAAATTCTTGTTTTTTCTAATTTTCATTTATCACAGTTGATAATGTAATAACCTCAAAATTGTATCATAGTTTGGAGACCTTTCTGTTGAAAATGTGTCAGGGTTAAATCGTATACATATACATGCACCGTGCGTTAACTGGAGTGCGGGTATTAGTTACCCGCACTCCAGAGCATGCCCATTGATTGGCTCATTTTTGCTGGGGTTTACATATTGTGACGGCAGAGAAAGGGAAAGCGACAGAAATGTCATATTCAGATGTTCGTTCATTGGTTCATTTTTGCCGGGGTTTCATATTGTGACAACAGGGAACGTGCTTTTATGTTTGACTATGATACAAAAACAAAACCAAAACACTCGGCAATCTGATTAATACTCGGGGGTTACGCCCCCTCGTACAAATCAGATAGCCTCGTGTTTCGGTGCTCTTTCTATTACTTAATTAGTTTTTGGAGTACCACACTCAGAGGCAAAACAATTTCCTTTCCTCTTTTATCTAAGGCAAAATTAATTTATTTTTGTAGGAAAATTTGCATGCATATTCATTTGTTTAGGTATATACATTTTCACAATGTGCAGACAAAACTATTTATGAAACTTAATCTTTACTGAGCTATTACCAGAAAATTAAAAAAAGTTTCATACCACTTGTTCAAAGTACAAATAGATTTTCTATTATAATAGAATGTTCTTAAATATATAAATGTTTGATCCAGATTTA